TCCTTCCTTCCTTCCTTCCTTCCTTCCTTCCTTCCTTCCTTCCTTCCTTCCTTCCTTCCTTCCTTCCTTCCTTCCTTCCTTGTGTGTGTTCTGAGAACAGGTCAATTTTGTGTGTCTTCTCTCATACCCCACCGCACGTTTTGAGACAAGGTCTCTTACTGAACCTGGAGTTCACCATTTTGGCTAGATTGGCTAAGCAACAAGCTCTCGGGATCCACCTGTCTCTGCCCCGCCTCCCCCTAAGCATTTGCTACTGTGCCCACCTTTTCCTGAGGAAGCTAGGGATTGGAAGGTGGGTTAAAGCAATCATTTTTCACACTGAGCCATCTCCTCAGCAATGCAGCACTTAATTTTTTATATTATCAGAGACATGGATGTGGTTTAAGTCTTTGTAATTAATGGCACAACCTCATACCATATCTGTGTAAAGCATGTTTATTGGTTTCTGTTCATTAGGTATCTTGCTTTAAGGTTTGGGGGTTACTGTAATGTCTCTGTGCACTACAGAAAGTTACAACCTTGCTTAATATCTCTCTGGGAACTGCTTTTCCATACTGCCAAGACACCATCAGCAACCAGCTCCCCCACAGCACAAATAATGCTCCCCCACTGACAGGACGGTGAATATTAGAAGTCAGATTGGAAACCCAAGTCTTCAGTGGAAGGTTAACAAGGAACCCAGGAGTTTGTGATGGATGAGAGGCAAGGGAGAACCTTAAAAGACCATAGAGCAATTAATGGATTTTCTCAATGCATTCATAATGAATGGGTGGATCTATCTGTGCCCCGGAGACTAAGAAGCAAGCCATGGTAAGTGAACACAGGCATTGCTTTTAAGCAACCAAGTTACTCCAATTACATTGTGTAACCTTGTACTTGGGAGTGAGGTACTTAAAGGAGAGTCAGCAGCAATGCTGCCAAGTAGTTGGTACAGAGTATTTTGTGGCTTTACTAACTCCAGTGTGTCTAATTTTTATTAATAAGAACAAAAGCTAAATACCACAAAACATGTTCTAGAAGCCCGATTATTAACTGATGTCATTGGACAACATAGTGTGTACCGAATCGCTAATTTCAAACTAGTTCTTTGTCTTGTTTTATCGGGACTCAAATCAGACTCCAGAGGAGCTTATGAACGAAGGACGAATGGCTGAGAGAGAGAGAAAGTTCAGAATTCAACTGTAGTGAGAGTATTCACTGCTATTTACAGTACACAAAATTCAGACGTTTGTTCAAATTCATTGTTGTGTGGCTGTCCAAAGAAAGTTATTTACTTCGAAACCATAAAAGGCGAAAGTATATTCATATGGAAATAGATAGGAAGAGGGTTTAGAATGGTGGGGGGATGCCACGCTGTGTGTTTTCCTTCCGATGTCTCATCATCATTGGTCTAGAGACAGGGCGAATGTCTCTGTGTACTTTGGGAAGTCCTAAAATGGAGAGACGGGCTTCCGGGCCCGGGCTTAGGGTTGTGCTTCTTGGCATGTGCTCTTTGTTTCTGCCTTATTAAAAATAAAAGTCTGTTACCCTGTAATGACAGAAAGGGGAGGGGGCAGCTTCCACATGGCTTTCCACTTCAGTGTTATCACTGCCAAAGGCTGCCAAGTTGGTTTTAGAAGTAAAACATGAACAAAACTACACAAGTAAATGGCTTTAAAGTCATCAGAAGTTTCTCCAAAGAGTCATTAAAAGTACAGCTGTTTGTACAACAGCATAATTTGTGGTAGTCAAATGGAAGCTGTCCATCTGTTATCAAATATGCACAACTCTTCCCTGATGAGTGTGTTCGTGAGAGTGTGTGTGTGAGTGTGTGTGTGTGTGTGTGTGTGTGTGTGTGTGTAGGAGGGCAAAGTGCATGTGTATGGGAGGAAGGCAGGGGAGGAGGCCAGGGTGTATGAGTGTGTATGTGTGTGTTGGTATATGTGTGTGTGTGTGTGTGTGTATCTGTGTCTCTCTCTGTGTATGTGTATATGTCTGTGGGTGGGTGGGAAGGCAGGCCTCACGTCCCTGTCCACACCTTCACTGCAGACTTTACCCTCCAGCACTATCAGTAGTTACATTTCTACCAGAAGCCACCATGCCTGTGGTGATTTGTTAGAGCAGCCCCAAGAAATAAATACAGATATCCTTGGGGACAGTGGGACCTTGTCACACACGAGTCCCCCCTTTGAGCAGAGGCAACATTTCTCAGTGCCAGTGGAATGGGCTCTGGCTGGAACTGGGGCTTATATCATCCGTATGAAGATGAATACATTGAGACCTAACAGCTAGCTCTCGGTGACCGTGTGTGGAGCCGGGAGAGGCTGGAGGATGTGGTGAGCACACAGGTGAGTTTTGGGTCTTGTTTGGGTTGAACTGCAGCCTCGTGTGTGTATGGGTGTGTGTGTGTGTGTGTGTGTGTGTGTGTGTGTGTGACTCACTCTGAGTAAATAAGCCATTCCCTCCCTAAGTTTCTTTGGCTGGTGACATAACATGGCCACATCTGCTGGGAAGATTAGAAAGAATGAAGTGCTTTGAGCAGAAAGGTTAAGCCGTATTAGCTAGTATCATACCTACTCTATACTAGAATGCTCTCACGACCAGGCAGAGAATGAAAGGAGCTGGCACCACCTTTTAGCAGTGTGAAGTCCTTCACAGGCATCAGCTCCCTTCCCAAGATGAAGGACCCAAGGCTCCAGGATTGATGCATTGCTTATTCAGGAGTCCAGCCAGAACTGGTCCTGGGTTTTGGCCTGGGATACTGAAGTACGAGAGCTCCTGTCACAACACTCTGCCTCCTACGGTAATTAATGCTATCTGAACATCTGAAAAGGAAGTCTGAAACTGAAGAAGCCTATACTCATTACCAATAACTTAAATTAATTGTGAAGTTTCTTAAAAGTATTTTGAAATAAAGAAACTGCTGCCAGCTACTCCAGAACTACAAATCTCCTGAAACATTGCTGCAGACAGGAAACTTAAGAAGGCTGCAGGTGTTTACAAGACACATGGATAGGTATCTTTCACCCACAGTTTAATGTGAACTTTTGTAGGAATTTGAATAGGAGCAGACAGGCTAGGCTTCCTTTTCTTCCTAATGATAATAATAATAATTATTATTATTAAATAAAAATAAATAAATTTAAAACCTAAATTAAAATGAATGCCCTTCTGTGAACATCGAACATATTTACTTTCACTGTGAATATGTTTATTTTGGAAGACAGTGTCTTCATTTTTCCATATTTGTTATTTTAATTTATCCCACCTGGTTAGCTAAAGGTTTTATTAAAAAGCATTCTTCTCATACCAAAGTCCTTCCAGGATAAACTAGTGCCTCATATAAATTAAAGATGAAGGACACAGAAACAGAAGCAGTCTTCAACCAGAGACCCATAAATAAGGCAGGAGCTAGTGCTAGGTACTGTGCCCTTGGCCCTTACCCAGCCACTGGGTTTTTCTAGGTCAGGGGTTTGTAGACTCCAGTGAAGGGTTGATGGAGGGTGACATCTGCGTAACCCTTACAATGCATGCAAACATTTTACAGATGGAACATTTTGCTGGGTACACCCGAAGGTATCCCTAATGTCTCAGCCACCAATCACTGTTTCGAGATGTGGTAAAGCTACTGCCACAGTTTCCACCTTTGTCTTATCTCTGATGTCAATGCAATGTTTGTATGTTATAAATGTTGATAGGTTTGGTATAAATGTTTGGTATGTTATAAATTTCATTTTAGTAAAGATGTAATGTTGCCATGAGAGCCCAAGATGTGAGCAGAGAAACTTACCTGTCCAGGGGGATCCAGGCCTGGAGCTCAGCTGTACCTCTCCTCTACCCAGTCTGATGTAGATGATGTCTCTTCCCTGGGCTCTATTTCTTCATCTGGGAAATAAAGACTTCAGAGATAAAGCCAGAAGATGCCTTCAAACTTTAAAACAATTCTATGCCCTGTGAAATGGCATTCAAACATTCTGACTCTTTTCCATGGATTCTAGAATATATTGTGAAAAGCAAGGCATGTGCTAAGTTATTTTAAAAATTATTTTTGGGGAAAGTCATAGTTTAAGAACATGCCACTGGCTGGAAGCTTTGAGCTGTATCCTGAGAACTAGACAGTGCCACAGGTACTAGGGTTGACCGTGTAGGACAATGGATGACTCTTCCCCAACTTATACTAAAGCAGCTTGCTCTGATCTGTTCTAAGGCTGGAGTTCTGCATACATTTGTTTGTTTGTTTGTGAGAAATGTTTTTTGATTTTTGATTTCAAATAATGTGTTAATATCATGTAGAGAGTAAGGAGAGGAAAAGGAAATTATTTTTAATCTTTGAGTTTAAAAATCTGCGCTTGGGCATGGTGGTAGACTGAGTGTGATAAATAAATAATTCAATATTCTTATATCTCTACAAAGTACGACACCACGGTTGAATAAACTGGGCGGTGGCTCTTCTAGCTCTTAGAAATGGCCATGACAGTCATCTGAGTATGTCCACAAGGTCTAGAAAATCTCAGGATAGGAAGGAGTTAGTGGTATGGTCCTCGAACAGCTGATGTTAACCGATGCTACAAGCTGCCACAGAGAAACTTTAGAACTGCATCTCAGAAAACAACAGACAGTGAGAGCTGTGCATAGCAGAAGGGGTGGGGCTGGAGGCATGGTTAGTAACAGCACTTGCCTAGCATGCAAAATACGTATAAAAATAATAATTAAAAAAACCCAAAGGGGAATGGGTTTCTCGGTGAGATGCTGAGGACTCTATTAGAAAAAATTGGTTCAAGCAGAGACTGCACAATGCTTTCTGCAGGCTGCCATGAGCTGGGAGGAAGGACTGAAGGTGAGGTTGCAATAGTGGGCATGGTGCCACATGCCTCCAATCTCAGCATCTGAAAGCTGGAGGTTTGAGTCATTCATGGCTGAGTCATGAGCTCGAGGTCAGCTGTCTCAGAGAACCACAAGGGAGAAGACGGAGACAAGAGTTAACAAAATCTCACTAAGCCTAAGGCCCAATCTCTAAAGTAGAGCAAATGTCATAGGAGAATATATTAATTTGTTAGTAGGTCGTGAATCCTGAACTGTTTTGTCATGTTTTAGGGCATGTTCTAGCACCTTCCTAAAGCTGAGAGCCGTAAATAAGTTCCTCACGTTGTGATGAACCCAATCATAAAATTATTTGGTTGCTACTTCATACCTGTAATTTTGCTACTGTTGTGGATTGTGATGTAAATGCGTGTTGGGCAGCATATTTGCTATGCAAGCCCAAGGGGTCCCGACTTACACGTTGAGGACCCCTGCTCCAGCAGTTGCTAGCCCTTTCTGAGCATCTTCTCCATGGATAATCTGTATGATTTGTGACCCCTGCATATTGTAGAGATTAACCCACATAACCTAATGGAGAGTATCTCGTCACTTCTGGTGCACATAATGACAAATTTATCCCAGTTATTACTTGTTCCTCACGTTTTCTATGTTATTTTCCTCCTCTCCTTTCTGCTCACTCTCTTGAACCGTTCAGAGACAGGGCAGCTAGGTGGGTAAGGGGACGGCTTGGTGAAGTGGGGATTCACCAGCAGCAAGGCTCAGGGACAACAGTGCAGAGGTCTGTGTACAGCCTGGTCTGTGTGCTCCTCAGAGGAGGAAACGGTAGAACAGCTCCGCCCTCTGCCTTCCTTTTGTCCTAAATTATAATCTGACTTTTCTGCCAGCCAAATCCAGAGTGAGGACAACCTGACTGCTTTCTGTTGTTGTTAGTTTAGACTTTTAGGCAATGAAATAATTTATTAAGACATGCAGGCTCCCTGGGTGTGGTGGTATAAGCCTTGACACGCCTTTAATCCCAACCCTTAAGTGGCAGAAGCTGGTGGATCTCTGTGAGTTAGAGGCCAGTTTAATCTACATATAGTGAGCTTTAGGCCAGCCAGGAAGAACTACAACATGATGAGACCCTGTCTCAAAAAAAAAAAAAAGTTTAGTGTTTTAAAGTTTTATAAAGAGATAGGATTTATCTGTATCAGTCCTGACTGTTCTGAAACTCACTCTGTAGACCAGGCTGGCTTCAACCTCCCAAAGATCCACCTGTCTCTGCCTCCAGTGATCACACCTCTGCTGGGATCACAGGTGTGTGACACCACTGCCCTGCTTTTGCTATTGCTGCTGTTAAATAAAATAAGTTAAAATAAGTAAGTACATGATGGCTGAGCCTTCTCAGCATGGGATATGCTGTTTGCGGCTTTATCTTTCATCTCTGCCTCATCCGACCAGTACCAGAGCTACCCTCAAACAACCAAACTCATGTTTCAATTGTTGAGTTAAAAAGTGAGTAGTTTGCTATTCTTACCCAGAACAAATGCACACAATGCTGTTCCTCAGGCATCCACCCGATGCCTGTGGGAATGAAGCCGCACCCCCACACACACACTCCACACCGACTGCACATCAAATTCTAGGCGTCGTGCTCCCCTTCTGTTACCACTTTCTGCTTTTCCTCCTAAAACTCCAGTTTATATTCTGTAGCATCAGCTGCTCAAAGTTAAGACTCTTTCCAAGAACTCCCCCTTATTAGAATGGATTCCTAAGTAATTGTGTAAACGGGAGACAAATAGACTGCAGCTAATCAAACTGATGTGTTCGAGTGGAGGGGCAACATGGCGCGGTCTCAGAGTGTAACAAGTTGTCATGCCGATGGACACAGATGTCAAGAGGGTTACATAACCTGCTTGTGAGACAATCCATTAAAGCTTCACAAGGAAGAGTGGTTTAACATGTGTCATTCACAAGGTCTGCGGCAACTGGACAATCACTGTCTGTAGCAGGGAGTTTAATGACTGGTAGTGACTATCAAATTTAGAATTTGAGACGTGTTTGTAAGAAGTTAAATTTTTATACATATTATGATACTAATAGATTGCACATCTTTCTATCTCTACATATATCTTCGCTATGGACACACACATGTACTGATAGTATATAGTTTGGATATGCTGGCTGTCAATCTAAAAGTCACAGATTAATTTATATGAGTTTTGCGAAGGGGATTATTTATGAATGTTTCTTAGTATATATCATTGCTAAATACTGTGAATGATTTTTATTTCTAAATTTTATGCTCATTATGTTTATGGCCGACATGTACATATTTAAAAGTTTTTAGATGAAAGAAATGCGGCAGAGAGCACATGTAAACGTTTCAGAAAAATGTCATTTTATCATCTAAATGGGCTAAAGACGTACAAATCTCCATCATGTGACAGCTTCTCCTTCAGTTGTGTATTACTTAAAATAGTCAGGCAATCAGGCCAGCATTCCTACCTCAATATTACAAACACTGATTTTTGTGTACAAGGTCAGGTTTAGAGAAGGCAGATGGTGTCTAGTTTAGCAAGTTCGTAACTTTAAGGGAAACATTGTTGTGCTGTGGCTTTGCAAATAGTCCTGGGTTCTAAAACTTCTTTTCCTTTTTAGTGACAATCTTGGGTACGTAGGGCAAGCTAGTCTCATACTCACCATCCTGTGTCAGCCTTTGAGCTGAAATCATAGATTTGGATCACAGAAAATTTTCTTTGTCAACGATTTTGATGACTGTAAAACCTGCACTAGCTGTGAAAAAATATAATGCTGAAATGTTACAATAAGAATTTCAGAGTAGCCAAGAAACAGAGGTTCACATAATTACCATATTAGTTTTACATTGTCTACTCTTCCATATTTTTCTATGTATTTTTTTTTTCCTTTCAAACCCACTTATGAATGTGTGTTCTGGTTGGTTTTGTCAACTTGACACAAACTTGGAAGAGGGAACTTGAACTGAGAAAACGCCTCCATCAGATTGGTCTATAGACAAGTGTATGGGGACATTGTCTAGACTGGTGAATGATGTATGAGGGTCCACCTCACCGGTGGCTGTGCTGCCCCTGGGCTGGAGGTCTTAGGTGTTATAAGAAAGCACGCTGAACAAGCCATGAGGAGGAAGCCAGTAAACATCACCCCCTCCATGGCCTCAGCTTTGGTTCTCGCCCCTAGGTTCCTGCCCTGGCTTCCTTCAGCGGACTGTGACCCAGCTATGTAATGCAAAACAAACAAACAAACAAAAAACAAAACCCTTTCCTCCCAAGTTGCTTTTGGCTGTGGCGTTTTATCACAGAAATAGAAACTCCAGCTAAGGCAAAATTCAATTATTTTTTTAATCTTGATTTTTTTTTTCAATTCATTTTACCCAAAGGATTTTTTTAAAAAATTTAATACTATGTAGATCTGAAAGTCACTTCTTTACTGATTACATAGAACTAAATTTTAAGTTAACATAGATTTGTTCAATTCATAGCACAAATGTTTATTGAGTTATTTGTGTGAACCTAGCACTGTTTGGCGTGCTGCGAATTCTCCCGGAGGGTGGCAGAGGACAAACATGTGATTTATGAAATAAATCCATAGTATTTTAATTTGTGTATGGATTTCTTTTGTGGTGCCAGCGCTCTAACCTATGGTTTTGTGCATGCCATTCTACCTCAGAGCTAACCTTTTCATCCCTTATTTTTGGTATCTTTGCTCTCTAGTGTCAGACAAGTCAGACAAGTAGTGTCACACACACTGTGTGTGTGTGTTAGCTCAGGTGTGGAAGTCAGAGAACAATTTGCAGGAATGGGTTCCCTTCATCCTGCACATGGTTCCCAGGATTGTATTCAGGCTTGGTGGCAAGTGCCTTTACTTGCTGAGCCACCTCACTGGCCCATGCTTTTCATGCTTTTTGCCACAGCGCCATTCTGCCTATCAGTTCTGCGATCCCAGGACCATCAGAGGCTCCCGACAGTAATTAAAACATTTCTTTGTAAGATGTAAGATTCTCTATGGATTCTCCCGTCAGAGAAGAGCCCAAGGGTATTCTATTC